TGTTCAGTTTCTCCCTTTTCTCCCTTAGGTGGTTCTGACCATGCAATGATCTCTTTAAATCTTTCTTCTCGTACTTCTTTTTGGGCTCACCTTATCATCGCACCACCTACTACTACCCTAAAGCTGACTGGGATTCCTTTTGTGATTTTCTTCGTGATGGTCCTTTGGCTGATGTTTTTTCTCTCTCAGCTGACAAATGCGCCTCCTACATAACCTCCTGGATTCAGGCTGGAATGGAATCTTTTATTCCTTCTCGTCGGTTTCAAGTTAAGCCTCATTCTACTCCATGGTTTTCTCCTTCTTGTGCGGCTGCTATATCCAATCGTAATCATTTTTTTCACCTTTTTCAAAAGAACAACTCTCTTGAGAATAAATGGCTATTTATTATTGCAAGAAATCGATGTAAAAAGGTGCTTTCTGATGCTAAACTCCATTATTCTCAGTTCACTAAATCTCGCATCTTATCACAGAAGTTAGGCTCTAAAGACTTATGGAAAATCTTCAACAGCATTATTAACAAGGGTAGATCTAACATTCCATCTCTCATTCATGGGACTGATCTTATTACCTCTCCCAAGGATAAGGCAGAACTATTTGCAAAGAACTTTTCTTCTAATTCCACTCTTGAATCTTATGGACATTCTCTTCCTTCCATTCCAGTCAAACAGGTTGACCCATTGTTAGACATTCAAATCACTCCGGCTTCTGTTGCTAAAGTATATCTCAATTAAACTCGTCTACTGCTTGTGGTCCAGACAACATTCCTGTCACAGTCTTGCAGAATTGTTCTCCAGAACTTTCTTCAATTCTCTCTAAACTATTTAACAAGTGTTTGACTGAGTCTTGTTTTCCTGCTTGTTGGAAAATGGCATCTGTGGTTCCAATATTCAAAAACTCTGGAGAAAATTCTAACCCTTCCAATTATCGTCCGATCAGTCTTCTTTCTGTTATTAGCAAGGTCTTTGAGTCTTTGATCAACAAATTCCTCACATCTCATCTTGAGTCAAATAAACTACTGTCAGACAATCAATACGGTTTTCGATCCTCTCGCTCTACGACCAACTTGCTAACTGCTGTAACTGAAAGATTTTATTGTGCATTAGGTGGACGCGGTGAGGCTAGGGCTATTGCTCTCGACATATCTAAAGCTTTCGACAAAGTTTGGCATGCTGGTCTTCTCCATAAGCTTGCTTCATATGGTGTTTTTGGGAAAGTTTTGAGATTATCAAATCATTTCTTTCTAACCGGTTTATTAAAGTCATCCTTGAAGGCCAACACTCTTCTTTATTTCCAGTAACTTCTGGGGTTCCCCAAGGTTCCATCCTGGCTCCTGTTTTGTTTCTTATCTACATAAACGATCTTCCTGACAACCTTTCATCTAAAGTAGCTCTTTTTGCTGATGACTCAACTTTATACTCCTGCCTTGACAAAAAGTCTTCTCTTTTCGATCGCCTAGAACAAGCAGCTGATCTTGAATCTGATCTCACTTCAGTAATAGATTGGGGTTCACAGTGGCTTGTGAATTTCAACTCTATAAAACCCCAATTGCTTACTTCAAACAACTACCGTAATATGGTCAACATTCCTATATTAATGAATGGCAATCCTCTTACTGAGTCCTCCTCTTTACGTCTTCTTAGATTATCGCTTACTACTGACCTTTCATGGAAACCATATATACAATCGATTGCTAAATTAGCTTCTGCTAAGGTTGCTTCTCTTTATCGTGCTCGCCATTTTCTTACTTCTGATTCCATTCTCTACCTCTACAAATCTCTTATTCGTCCCTGTATGGAATACTGTTGTCATATTTGGGCTGGTTCTTCTAATGATTCACTTTCTCTTCTTGACAAGGTCTAAAAACGCATTGTAAATGTTGTTGGACCTGGACTATCTGCTAAGCTTGAACCTCTTTCCCATCGTCGCAAAGTTGCATCTCTTTCTCTTTTCTACAGATATTATCATGGTCACTGCTCAAAGGAGTTATCATCTCTAGTTCCATCAACTAAAATTCATTCTCATTTTACTCGTCATTCAGCTAAGTCTCATTCGTTTACTGTATCTGTCCCTGCATGCTCGAAAAACTTTTATTCATCTAGTTTTTTTCCCCGCACTTCAATCCTTTGGAACTCTCTCTCATTTTCATGTTTTCCTGACTCATACAACCTTCAACTTTTCAAATCTTCTGTCAACCGTTTCCTTGCTCTATAACTCTGTTCTTTTTTTTCTCCTAGTAACTCCCAACTTAATAGTGGTTGCTTGCAGCCTTGTTGGGAGTGAATGCAAATAAAAAAAAAATAAAAAAAAAAAAATATATATATATATATATATATATATATATATATATATATATATATATATATATATATATATATATATATATGTATATATATATATATATATATATATATATATATATATATATATATATATATATATATTAGGGTGGTCCATAAAACAACTTTTTTGAGAAAAACCTGCTGACACCCCCTAAATGTGTTTTATCTAATGCAAAAACACTAGGTTTAAAATTTTTTTGAACAAAAATTATTTTTAGGGGTAGCTCAAGGCCCTCAAAAATTTGACGGGTCCCTAATATTTTGAAAAAAAAACTTTTTCTAAAGTATGTCAACCTGGTACTCAAAAGAAGCGATATTGTATAAAAACTTCAAAAATAATAATCATTTTACATAAAAAACATGCCTAAAAAAAATTATTCTCAAAAAACCTGAAAATATTGACTTTTTTTATTTTCAGCTTAAAAACAATAGTTTTTATGCATTTATACCTAAAAAAATTATTTTTATAAAAAATTATTATCATTTTTAAATTTTTTATATAATTTTGCTTATTTTGAGTACCAGGTTGACATACTTTAGAAAAAGTTTTTTTTTCAAAATATTAGGGACCCGTCAAATTTTTGAGGGCCTTGAGCTACCCCTAAAAATAATTTTTGTTCAAAAAAATTTTAAACCTAGTGTTTTTGCATTAGATAAAACACATTTAGGGGGTGTCAGCAGGTTTTTCTCAAAAAAGTTGTTTTATGGACAACCCTAATATATATATATATATATATATATATATATATATATATATATATATATATATATATATATATATATATATATATATATATATTATATATATATATATATATATATATATATATATATATATATATATATATATATATATATATATATATATATATATATATATATATATATATATATATATATATATATATATATATATATATATATATATATATATATATATATATATATATATATATATATATATATGTATATGTATATATATATTTATATATACAGGGGTGGGACCGCAAAATGTGAACACTTTTCTGATTGTAATAATTAATTTTCTGTTAAATATGAACTATTTTAAATAAGAATGTCCAATGGTTGGACATTCTTATTTAAAATAGTTCATATTTAACAACTCTTTAGACACTTTCTGATGAGTGAGAGAGTACAACTACATCTAACGAGAAAATAGTTATAATAAAACAAAAACGTTTACATTTTGCGGTCCCACCCCTGTATATATATATATATATATATATATATATATATATATATATATATATATATATATATATATATATATATATATATATATATATATATATATATATATATATATATATATATATATATATATATATATATATATATATATATATATATATATATATATATATATATATATATATGTATATATATACATATATGTATATATGTATGTATATATGTAGAAACATTCATTCTATATATGTATATATAGAAACATTCTTGGTTTGCATGCATAATTATTTCGAAATCTTTTAAAAATTTAAAGGGTTGTCGCGCAATGAATTTGACTCATTCATGAATCGTGTTCCGACTCATTTGAAAAATAAGTTTATCAAAATTGCTCATGATTTCCAAAAGTTTGACAAAAACAAGGATGATATAATCGAATCGGATGAATTTGGTGCTATGCTTGATCAAGTCATGGAGGGAGAAGGTTTAAAGAAAACATAAGAAGATAAATCTTTTAAAGAAAAAGAGTTTAATTATTTAAGGAAAGAGATAAGTCAAATGAACAAACGGAATTATTTTTTGATTTTTTTTATATTTATATTCATATTTATTTTAATTTTTTTTTAAATGGTATTATAATCTATTTTTTTTTTAATGGTTATAATCTTTTTTTGATCTTTATAATTTTATTTTTATTTTAGTGTATATATTTATTATGTAAAGTTTTACTAAAATTTTGTGAACTGAATCTTAATACTCGAATATAATTTTTATGTAAATAGTTTTTAAAGTTTATTAGAATATTTTCACATAGTATTTGTCTTTTTCAGTGGCGTAACTTGAAACTTTGAACCCCTTGTAAGTTTTTCAAATCGGGCTTATTGTCTCCGTGCCCCTGCAGTCACGAATAACTTGGCAGAACTTTTTTTTAATCAGAAAAATTAAATTAAATTTAAAAAAAAAAAAAACAAAAAACGATTTAATTTAATTAATTTTAACTTTTTTTTAACTAGCGTTTTTATTTTTTTTTTTTCTAACTCTTATTAGTCGAAGATATTAATATAGTTTGTCTTACTCTTAACTATGGAAGTGTTTCCGAGAAAATCAAGTTTTGTAATTTTATTTGTAAAGACTTTCTGCTGGTCCAACTAATTTTTTAAATATTTTTAAAATTTGAATCGTCCATAGGACTAGATTTATTGTACTAAAGTCAGCTACTGTTTAAGGTTATACAGGGGTGGGACCGCAAAATGTGAACACTTTTCTGATTGTAATAATTAATTTTCTGTTAAATATGAACTATTTTAAATAAGAATGTCCAATGGTTGGACATTCTTATTTAAAATAGTTCATATTTAACTACTCTTTAGACACTTTCTGATGAGTGAGAGAGTACAACTACATCTAACGAGAAAATAGTTATAATAAAACAAAAACGTTCACATTTTGCGGTCCCACCCCTGTACAAATAAAATAAAAAAGGTTATACAAACTTCTATTTTGGACTATTAAATTCTTTTAAAAATCAATAGTGAAAAAAATTCTAGCAGTGTTGCCCTAAATAATGCATTAATAATCATTTTTATAGTTTGCGCCGACTTACCACTGGGTTAGAATAACCAAAAAAAATGCTAATATTTTTAGTTCGAACAAAAAAGTCTAAGCTTTTTAGTAGAATATATATATAATCTCACCTGCTAAATAAACGGGGGGATCTTAATAAGCAGGTGGGTCATAAATATATTCATATATTCCAATAAGTGGTCGTCTATAAAATACGTCTCGCTATTTTTGACAATATTATCTACATTTTCAAAAATCTTAGAAAAAATTATTTACAATAGGTTGTATACTTTCTTTAAGGACAAGAACTTTTAATTTAAAAAATAGTTTTAAAATAAAAAGTTCTACCGATTCTTCTACGGACAAATTGGATTATTGCATCATCCAATTCAATTGTGCAGCCGTGGCGCAGTGGTAACGCACTTGCCTCAGAAACGTAAGATCCGTGGTTCAAACCCCACCTCTGCGCAAGTTTTGCGACATCGGTTGGGAAAGAGGCGTGAACTTCCTATTAAATGCTCTTCCGCGGTGCTCTGTGATAAGACCGTAAGGACTTCTTGGGCTTAAAAAAAAAAAAAAAATTCGTCCGTGAAAACTCTTTCAAAAATTTACAATTACATTAGGGATCGTCCATAAATTACGCAACGCAAAATTAAACTTATAGACAAATTACAAAGGATTAGTGATGTGCCGGGTACCCGGTTCGGAACCGGAGACCCGGTAATTCGGCAGTTTTACCGGGTACCCGGTATCGGCCATTTTGTTGCAGTACCCGGCACCGGGTATCTTCAAATTGATTTTTTCTTTAGTTAAACTTTAACCATTAAACTTCTTGATATAAGTCTAAGAGTGTTATGTAGTCGATAACCACAAAGTTCTATTAACTTAAAACAATCTCACTTAAAATATTTTTTAATACACTTTTGAAAAAAAATTTATACGGATACAAAAACTGTAACGCTAAATAAAATAATTCGAGAATACGAATAAAAAGAATGGGAAACAAAGTTTTAGAATAGCTTCTTTTTATTCTGTTAAAACACGAGATAATTTTTAGCAATTTAGTTTTGAATGAAACGCTTATAATGCTTTCGAACGCTGATAGACTTTTCATTCGTATCAAGTAAAAATCATAAAAGTAGAGATATAAGGTAAATATTATACACATTTTTTATATTTTAATTTCGAGCGTATTATTAAAAAAATTATCGTTTCATATAAAATAAACGAAAACTTTGATATCAAAACTAGTTTCATTATCTTTATAGAAATTTTATTTGAAAGAAAAGTTATGGCAAAAAAAAGTATAGCGTGGAAGTTCTTTGATATAAGCACGACTCCTCATATGAGTAAGTGCAAACTATGTGATAGTTTAATTACGAGAGGAGGAAAATCTTTCAAGTCTTATGGAACTACAGCAATGGTAAAACATTTGCGTTTAAAGCATTCCAAAGAGTTTGAACTTGCGGAAGAAAAAAAAAAGGTTCAATCGTTGCCGTCTATTTCTGAAGCCTCAGTTGCTTCTACCACCAATACAGTACAAAGTAACATTATTCAGGCTTTACAAAAAAAAAAACAGTGGAATATTGATGACCACAGATCTATTCGAATCCATAAAATAATAGGAAAACTTATCACATTGGATATTCAGCCATTTTCTATTGTTGAAGATACGGGGTTTAATGAACTGATTAAAGATGCTTATCCCAATTACAAATTACCATGTAGAACATATTTCAGCCAAAACGTAATCCCTAGCATGTATGATGAACTTTTTAAAGATATAAAAATAAAAATCTCCGCGGCAAACTATTTGTCTCTGACGACAGATATTTGGACAGCGGATACTGCAAAAATCGCATTTTTATACATTACTGGACATTGGATAGATCTAACTAAATTTTCCCAAGAAACTGCTGTTCTTCGAGTAATTCATTTTCCGGAAAAGCACACAGGTGTTCATATAAAAGAGTATTTACAAAAAGGTTTAGAAACTTTTGAAATCCCGTTAAGCAAAATTCATCTTATTGTTACCGATAATGCAAGCAATATGAAGGCTGCAGTAAAAAACAGTGGAATGTCATCAATTCCAAGCTTTATCCATACTTTGCAGCTATGTATTCATGACTCTATATTTAGCCAAGAAATCATCAAGGAAATTTTAACTTTATGCAGAGGAATAACGACACATTTTAATCAACCAATAGCATGTGCAAAATTAAAATCAATTCAGCAGCAGTTAAGTACTGTACCTCACAAAATGAAACAAGATGTTCCAACTCGCTGGAACAGTTCATTTGAAATGCTACAAAGAACGTTTGAACAAAAGGTTTCTTTGGCCACCTATTCAGCAGAATATGATGAAATTAAACTTCCTACTAATTATCAATAGGGAATAGTCGAAAAACTTGTTTACATTCTTGCTCCATTTGAAAACTTAACAAAAAAATGTGGTAGGAGGGACGAAACTTGCGCACAAATTATACCATCTGTTCTTGCATTAAAAGTTTTATTACAAAAAGCTTCATCAAGTGATATATACGCTAGGATTATGACGATGATTGATGAACTAATAAAATCTGTTACTAAAAGACTTGATATATTCTTGCTTAATAAAATGTTATGTGTATCAACATTTTTGGATCCACGATATAAATTACTTTATCAACATGCAGATGAAAATGTTATTAAGGAGTGGGTTGAAGAAGCATGGAAAGAAATGCAAGGAGCGCAAGATGTTGTTGACTCTGACTCCGACAATGCTCCAATAGTAAAAGCTCCAGCATCTAATGGATTCATTAGCATTGATGATTGTTTTAAAGATGTAGCTTCTATGAGAACCGGAAGAAAGTAGAGTGAAAGACGTTCCGAGGCAGAAAGAGAATTAGTAGATATTGAAGTTGTTACCACTGACATAATTAAAAAGCAAACAATATTAAAGTCTGCAATTACTCAAGAAATAGACAACTACTTATCTCTGCCTCTTTTAGAAAATAAAAGTTCTCCGTTTTTGTGGTGGAGTAAATGTGGAATGCAATTTGAAAAACTAAAAAAGATGGCATTAAAATATCTTACAGCACCTCCGTCATCAATAGAAAGTGAAAGGTTATTTAGTGCTGGTGGAGACATATACGAAGCAACAAGGAGCAGACTAAAAGCAGATAACGGAGAATACCTAATGTTTGTGCATTACAATCTAAAGTTAATAAAACAATTAAAATAAGATACAGCAAATAAGTGTTGTTTAAGTTCTTTTTATTTGTTTTATTTTATTCACTGTACAGTCGAGAAGGTCTACCTTTTTTTGCAATTCTTTATATTTCTTAATCTTTTGCTTTCCATAATATAACTTTCAATGGCGGAACTTCAAATTTTGCCCCTTTCCCCACAAAATATTATTTAGGCCCGCTCCACCAGGAAAGAAAAATAATTTTAAACTAAATATAGTTGTTAAAAAACTGTTGCACAACTGTTGCAACTCAGGCCCCTTACCCTGCATTGCGGGGTTTTGCTAAATAGTACGTCGGCCACATAACTTTTTGTTAGTTAGCGTAAAAAGCGTATTTTGTGTGAATAGTTCAGCCCTAGAGATTTCACAAATTTTTATTCCACCTTTTAAAAAATGGACTCGGTGCCGAGTACCCGGACTCGGACCCAGTTTTTTCAGCCGGGTACCCGGAATCGGAGACTCGGCATAAACTGGTTTCGGCACATCTCTACAAAGGATTAAAAGTTTTCCCTCGTAGAGTCTTTAATTAAATCAAGTATATAAACAATTTTTAAATCCAGCGAAAACTGCCGCGCAAAAGAGAAAAATGATCTCCTACTTATATTTTTTAAATAAGTTTTGCGTTACCTAATTTATGGACGATCGCTTAGGTATTCTTTTAGCTTTATCAAAAGCATTTGATACAGTAAATCATGGTATTTTGATTCATAAACTTAAATATTATGGAATGAATGGTGCAATTTTAAAATGGTTCAAAAGTTATTTAAATACCCGAAAACAATTTTTAACAATCATTATCAAAAAAAAAGTTTTATATTTATCATGTAGGGTTCCGCAAGGATCGTTTTTGAGGTCACTTTTTTTTTAATCTATATTAATGATTTGTACAAACCTTATAATCTTTTGAAGTATTATATGTTTGCGGATGACTTTATTTTTTATCTGATAACAATATTAATAAACTTTTTATTACTATGAATGAAGAACTCAAAAATATTTCTAGCTGGTTCAAATGCAATAAACTTACCCTAAATTTTCCATAATTATTCCAATAATAAAATCCTTTTCAACTTCTATAATTATTCCAATAATAAAATCCAATAAAAATCTCTTAATAATTTAAATAATATATTATCATGCATGTATGTCTGAAAATATCAGACAGCCACTCTTATCAATTTGGTTTCAAGCAAAATAGCTGCACCCTGCATGCAGAATTCCTATTGAGTGAAACATTAAAACATTATAATAATAATAACTTGCCAGTATATATCTGTAGTTTAGACGCTTCGATAGCTGTAACTGGGATTTGCTGTTTGAGAAACTTTATTACAACAAAAACTTACGCACTACAAACATTAGTTTGCGCAATTTGCACAACAATCATTATACCGCTCGGGTACAGCAAATATATCATACTTTGAACATAAATCAAATAATTTCAACTTGTCTCAAGGAGTGCGACAAGGATCCATTTTATCGCCACATTTATACAACATCTACACTGAAAGTATATTAATTCAAATTGTTTCCGATTGTAAAGTTAGAACAACAGTTATGGGTTTATACACTGGTACTATTGCTTTTGCAGATGATATAATCCTGCAAAGTCCTACTCTTTCTAGGCTACAAAAGTTGATCAATAAAGTTCAAACGCAATGCCAAAACCTCTATATCAAATTAAACACAGAAAAAATCGAGTTCATTATCTCCGGTAAAAGTTTAGTTTCAAAAAACATAATAATAATTAACGGTTTTTCCCTAAAACTCAAGAATAAACTGAAACACCTCGGATTCTTAAAGGAAAATCAATGCCATGGACAAAATATAGCTACAATGCAATTAGCAAATGTAATTGAAAGAATTATTCAATTTCTATCAATCTCCAGAGCTCTTATAAAATCTGGAATTCATTTTTGTCAACCAGTAACAGCAGTGTATTTGTTCAAATCTCTGGTTAACCAAATCTATCATACGGATTAGAAATTTGTATTTATAACATTACTTTTCTTAATAAATTAGACGCTGTTGGAAGATCAGCATTAAAATTTCTCTTTAGTGTTTCAAAATACAGCAAAAAAACTATCTGCATTCCTACTTTAAAATCGGTGATGTATCTACCATCCTCGTTCAAAACAAATTGAATCTGTTTATCAGATAACTGAGCAATCCGGTTTTTCCTTAATTTTAACTCAAATATTTAATGTTAATAAGGAAACCTTTTTACTAAAGCTTTCAAAGAGAGCAGACGCTTTTTTTTTAACTAGCGTTTTTATTTTTGTTTTAAATTCTTATTACTCAAATATATTAATAAAGTTTGTCATACTCTTAACTATGGAAGTTCTTCCATATTGATACTTAAGTATCAATCACAAATATTGAACAACATCTCCCAACATGAAATTAATAACAGATAGATTCGATAAAATTGAAAATAAAATGCAGATAAACGCACTAAATATTAAGAAAATGGAAAAAGAGATCGATGACTTAAAGGAAAGTATAAACTCTCAAGAAGATATGGTTATGAAAAAAATAAACGAAATAAATCATTGCATCGACAGTCAGAAGAGAATCTCTAACGAAAATAAAAAATGGAATCAGAAATACAATCAAAAGCTATAAATCTAATAAATGAAAAACTAATATATCTAGAAAATCGTTCTAGACGAAAAATCTTAGAATTGATAGTGTCAAAGAAATTCAAGGCGAAACGTGGGATGAGTGTAAAAAAACAGTTAAGGATAATTTTGCCAATAATCTTAAAATCAGTAAAGACATTATAATCGAAAGAGCACACAGGTCAGGTCCATTAAAACAAGGTAAAGAGCAAACGATTATCATCAAACTTTTAAATTTCAACGACAAAAGGTTAATTCTACAAAACTCAAAAAAACTACGCGGAACCGGCGTGATCGTAAACGAAGACTTTGCAAAGGAAACAATAGAAAAGCGTATTTATTATTTTCATGTTTTTATTTTAATCATTATTATTGGGTCTTAATTATATTTACTTTTAATAATATTATTATTCTTATTATTATACAATCAATTATTTTTATTATTGTTGTTGTTATTAATTTATTGCTACTTTTATTTTTATTATAACTATATGTGTCTATAATATGTTTTATATCATCGAGGAGTTTTTACTTTATATTAGTTTTTCTAACTATTTGTAAATGACCGTGGAAATTACATCTGAAGAATATATAATTGATTGATTGATTGATAATTATTTAATCTAAGGTTTCATCAGATGCAGGGGCGAATCCAGCATTTTTTTGTCTTTAAGATCGCTAACTTCCAGACACAAAGCAAACTTCAAACTTTTATATGTTTATACTTATGTCAAATAAAGATGCTTTTCAAAAAAGTGCGATGATTGGAGGCTGAGAAAAAAAATGCCGCAAAATTTTCTTCCCCCCTCCTGCCCCAAACGAAAGAGCAAAAAATTGATGAAATAACTTTTATACTATTTTCAACTAGACTATAATGATGAATATAAATTCATCAATAAATTTTAAATTTCATAGTAAAATAATTTAGCGTTCTAAAATTAAGACCATATAAAGTTTAAACCCCCCTCAATTTGAGGAGACTGCAAATTTTATATGGTCATAATTTTTGAACACTAAATTATTTTATTATGAAATTTAAAACTTATCGATGATCGATTTACGGTTAAAGAATATAAAGATTTTTACCCAAGTGATGCTATACCACCTCGTTTGTATGGAGTCATAAAAGCCCACAAACCTGAAAAAAACTACCAGATGCGAGTTATCGTAAGCACTATTGGAATGGCTACATACAAAATTTCTAAATTATTAACTGATATGATACAACCCATCTTCAATAAGAGCAATACACATTTAAAAAACTCTGAACATTTTGTTAACTTAGCTAATTCATGGAATATTGAAAAAGATGAAGTCCAAGTGTCTTACGATATCACTAATTTATATCCTTCAGTCTCAGTAAAGGAAGCGATAATTATCCTTATTGAGAGGTTGAAAAATGATCCTAGTTTTACATCAAAATTTACCTTTGATGAAATAAAAACTCTTTAAGATATATGCCTTTTGCATTGTTGTTTTTTATTTGAACACGACATTTATGAACTAGAAGATTCTGGATCTATTGGTTTAGGATTTATGGTA